GTTTTGTTTTTCTCCGGTACCGGGAACCGAACTCACGACCTTGCGCTTGCCAGGCAGGCGCTTTTGCCGCTGAGCTAAATCCCCAGCCCCTGCTACTGCTTTCTGGCTTCAGTTTTGTTGTTGTTTTTTTGAGACAGGGTCTCACTGTGTAGTTCAGGCTGGCCTTTAACTCACTATGTAGCCTCACTATGAGCTCACCTGTGCATCCCTATCCCCAGGTGGCCTCGAACTCGCAGTGATCCTCCTGCCTCAGCCTCCCAAGTGCTGAGCCACTGCTTTTTAGGGAAAAAAAAAAAAAAAGTAATTTTAGATTCACAGGTAGTTGTAAGAGATAAAAGATTCCCCTGGCATATACCTGTAGATCTGTTCTAAACTAGTTACACAGCCACATGTGGTGGTGCACGCCTATAACCCCAGCATTCCGGAGGCTGAGGCAGGAGGATCATTGCAAGTTCGAGACCAGCATGGGCTACTAAGAGAGCTTAAGGCCAGCCTGAAGTGCATAGCGAGACGCTGTCTCAAAAATGACCAAAAAAATAAACTAGTTACACATAGCGATCTGTAAAGGTGGATGGCTTCTAGGATGGTTTATAAGCTGTTGCCATATTCGAGTGACAGTAGTTTGGGAAACACTGTCTGAGAACCATTTCATAGTAATTAATAACAGGTTGGTAAGTAATAATACGGTGATTTATTGACAGAGTTCTCTATGGCAGCAATTTGAAGTGCTTTACTAACCCATTTCTTTGATTAATCCTCCCAACAATCCTATTTATAGGTGTGATTTTTAATGCACATTTTATGGATCATAGAGAGATAGGGTAACTTGCTCAAAATCCACACAGCTAGTAAGTAGCAGATGCAGTTAGCTTGATAGAATACAGCATCCTTGAACATTGTGAGCACAGGAGCAAGCACAGGCCTGGGTAGGAAAGATAGGTAAACTGCAATTGGAATGTGTGGAATGACAATGCACATACCTGTTATCACAGGATCTTGAGAAAATGCAAACGTTGAGGATCAAGACTAACAAAAGTATTTCCTGTTACCGCTTGCTTTTATGCAGCCATTGTGTAGGAAAGCTAAATTATTCCCTACCTCTATTGCCTTCTGTTTAATCTGTATCTTTCTCTAAATCAAAGTTACATATGATCATTCCAAACCTAACTACCCTAAGCCACAGAACTAATTCTTGGGAGAAAGAATCTTTGAACTGAGACAAGAGTGATGGGGAAAGTCTGGATTCTGGCAGAATTAGGGCTTTGTGAGTTTCTGAGTTTCCCTCCCTGGCTCCAGCTCCATAGATGCTGGGCTTTGACAAGGAAGGAATTGCAGAGCAGGTAGCCTGTCCTTTATAATTTACAGCCAGCTATGGAGCCTGGCCCAGTGATAATCACAGTATGTGTCTGTGTCTTAATCATAGCCTATCATCTTGCAAAAGATTTAAGATGCTTAACACTTTACAGGCTCTTTTCCCTCCCTTGTGTGTGCTGAGGTACAGGTAGTTTTAAATATAATTGATTATTCGCCAAAACTACTTAGCAGTGATTAAAGTCCCTGCCCTTACAGTGCTCACATTCTAGTGAAGTAGATAGTTAAATTACAGTTGTAGGCAGTAGTAAGAGAATATAAGACTTTTTAAAAATGGTGACTAAGGGGGTGGGAGGGCTCAGGTTGGCAGGTAGGGAGCTTTTTTTGTAAGTTTAATGAAAGAAAAAACCTCTTTGAGAAAGTGACCTTCGCAGGTGATATAGAAGGTGTAATCCTTGCATGGGGTGGTCGCAAGGGAGAGGAGGAAGACCAGGCCTGGGAGTGGAACTGGCCCTATGCTCTGAGGAGCCTAGCAACAGTGTGTTAGGGTTGGCATAAGCTTGCTGCAAAGCACTGTGGGGGATGAAGTTGGAGGGGCAGCGCCATGCCAGCCCAGCAGGGTCTTGTAAGCAGCTGTAAGGTCTTAGGACTTTATTCTGAATGTCATGAGAAATTGTGGGAGGAGTTTGTGCAAGGGATCATCTTGGTCTGATTTATATATTTAAATATTCCATGCTAGTTGGGTATGGTGGCTCATGTCTGTAAACCACAAGTTCAAGGCCAGCCTCAGCTACATAGTGAGTACGAGCTGAACCTGAACTTTGTAGCAAGACTGTGTTTCACAAAACCAAGATAAATACATATTCTATCTGGAGAATTGGCTCTAACGGAAGAATAGTTGAGACAGGCAGACCAGCTAGGAAGAAGGTGCAGTACCTCAGGTATGATATGCTTGATCAAAGCTTGGACGGGTGGTTGTGATGAGGTGACAAGTACTAGTATGGTGTATTTATTTTAAAGCAGAGCCAGTAGAAATCCTCATAATGGAGTGGAGTGAGAGGAAAAGAGCTGTTAAGGTGACCTTCATGTTTTCACCCTCAGCAGTTTTGTAGTTGTTTCTGGGATGAGGAAACCAAGGCGGAAGGTGGTTTGTTACAGTCAGTCCGCTTTTCTCCTATTAAGTTTGAGGTAGCCTCAGACTAACAAACGGAGAGGTCAGGCAGACCTTTGAATACTGGAACACAGAGCTGATGAGCAAATATAGAATGTCTATTAGAAAGCTGAAGAGCTTAGAGCCAGGCTCCTCAGGAAGCACAGCGCGGGGCTAAGAACACTTCCTCAGAAGCCAGGCCCCCAGTGCAGAAAAGCTGGCCCTCACTTCCTTGGTCCTCAGTTCTTTGTGCCCGATGGAGGTTTCAGTCTCGCCCGAGGCTTGGTAGGAAGCATTGTGAAGTAGATGTCAAGAGAGTTACACACAGGCATCTGCCTTGAGTATGAGTTTGGATACATTTTTATGTCCACTCCTGGGTTCCAGAGCACTGGGATTGTTGTGATGCTTATCCGCAAGTTTCCAAATATCTTCCTGGCCATTTTAGGTGGTCAGTGTTTCCTTGGGGGCTTTAATCATGTAAGACGCTCAGGAAAGAAAGTTTGAGAAAGATAAGTTCTTAATTTAAACCAGACCCCAGCCCAAGGCTTTAAAGGATGTTTCTTTTCTGATATCAGTGGGCTGCAGGCCATGGCAGCTAGGAATGCAGTGTACCTTGTCCTGGAGAGAATGGCCAGGTGGCCAGGTAACAGAAGAATGTGTGTGGTGTGTGACCTTCAGGTATCATTTCACTCTCTGGGTGGCTTAGGAGCTGAGCCCTAACAGATAGTTATAAATGTACTGTACACTGACATGTTTCTTAGCTGGTAACATGTGCTTGTTTGCACATGTACGCATGCACACACACACACACATGCACACTCATCCTTCAGTCTTGCTGATGTCCACTTACTGGCCTAATGGAGCCCAGGCTGAGCCCAGCTGGACAGGCAGAGCGCCTTTCGGAGTGGGGACACACATGCGCGAAGGACAATATTCCTGAGGGAGGAGCCTGTGACCCCAGTGCTACTGAGGAGCCTGGGAGACAGTGTCCTGAGGCGGCTTTGCGGTGCCCTGCTAGGTGACAGCTGCACATTCTGCTGTATGAGCTCACAGGTGTAGCTGTGGTTTCTTCTTAAGCTCATGTTAGCTGACCACTCCATGACTCGTACATTGTCACAGTTGGGACTCCGCTGATTGTCAGAAGATACCCTGAAAATGCAAATTGCCCTCTGTTGCCCAGACGGTGCTACACGTTTAGCTGGAGAGAGTACCCTACATCCCCTCTGCTGAGCGCTGCTGGGAGGAGGCACGTGGTATCTCTGGTACAGCAGTGTGGCAGCAGTGGCTGCGGTGCAGTCATGAGAGGCTTAGCTCTCAGCAGGTGTGAGCTGGAGTCACAGCCTGGGGCCCAGTGTTTCCTCAGCTCCCTGGGTCTGTCCCTGGCCCCCACCCGTGGCAGGCCTGTGTTGCCTCCCTAGATAAGAGCTCAGGTGGCCAGGCCACCTCCCAGGGAAGGCAAGTTTTATTTTCTTCTTTTGAGACAGTCTCACTCGGTCGCTAAGTTACAGGGCTGAGCCTTTGGACTTAAAACGCGGCAGCCTCCTAGACAACCCCAGAGCACTGGGATGCCAGGCACCGCACACCCTGCTGATTTCATTGAGCTTATATCTAGAGACAGTTGTGTAGTAATATTAGGGGATGAACGCTAGGGAGAAAAATAAGGGAGGAGACATGGTAAGGATCTATCCAGAAATTTGCATTTTTAAATCTGACTGTGGGAGGAGCCCTCATGGAGGTGACAGTTGGACAACTTGAATATGGGCTGTCCACTTGAAAATAAAACAGCCAGTTCTATCTCTTCTGGGAAGCAGAAGTTAACATGTTAAAAATCAAAGTCCAGAATCGTTTTATTTGGGAATCTAAAACTGTTACCAAGGTTCATTGAGATCATGAGTCTCTGCTTTTGAGAGAGGATCTGCGTCGTAATCTTACAATTCCATTTTATTGACTCGTGAGTTACAGTGTAAATTGTATTCTACCCTGGGACAGTCTGGGTGTGGAGTTTAAAAAGCACAAAACCTCAAGGCCCACAGGAAGCCAGCAAAATCGTATTTGTTGGGAATACCTGGGAAATGGGCCCTGCAGACATCTTCCGAGAGCTGCAGTTTTCAGTGTCAGCCACTCAGTGACTGTGACTGGAGGTGGCCTGTTTACATTTTGTCCACCTCAGGAATGGAAGCTGAAGGTGGATGTCAAACCATGGAGGAAATCACTGAAAAGAAGGAAGTAGAAAAGAAGAAACGCTCTAGAGTGAAGCAGGTGCTTGCGGATATCGCTAAGCAAGTGGACTTCTGGTTTGGGGATGCAAATCTGCACAAGGACAGATTTCTTCGAGAACAGATAGAAAAATCTAGAGATGGATGTAAGTTTACTTCAGTCAGTACAGAAAAACATTTCTAGATTTGTTACCCTTTATAGGCACTTCTAAAGTAGCATGTTACTCTTTTCACGTTTGCAGTAGTTTTTTGCCAGGATTCATGTTGAATTATTTCATATTTAATAACAAGTACAGATTTAGCTTTAAACTAACTACTTAGCCTGTGCTTAATTTTCTTCTAGGGTTAGTTAAGACCCATCACGAGGAACATAAAGTAAAACATCTGTTGTATCTGTCACCTAATCAAAATTTTGACCTGTCCCCACCTCCAAATAGCCTGAGCTTCTAATGAGAAACTGTTAGGATCTTATGCTATATGTACTAATATATTTTTGGTACTTATTGAGGAGGGCATCACACTAGCAAAGTCTGAGCTTTATGTTAAGATTAGAAATACCTTGATTTAATTCTACCCAACTTGCATGTTCACTTTTTCATCTTTAGATGTTGATATCTCCCTTCTGGTATCTTTTAACAAAATGAAAAAGTTGACTACTGATGGCAAGTTAATAGCCAGAGCATTGAAAAGCTCAGCTGTTGTCGAGGTAATTTTACTGCTTGATTTATACTTGATAAGATACCCAATTCTTGTCTGCCCTTACTAATTTACTGGTACATTAAAGTTGGACTTAGAAGGCACCAGAATCAGAAGGAAAAAGCCTCTGGGTGAAAGACCTAAGGATGAGGACGAGCGCACTGTGTATGTGGTAAGTGACCCCTTTTCCCCAGAAGCCCAGAGCCCACGCCCCAAATTAAAATGTGACACACAAACACGAAAGATAAATATTTATTAATATTCTGGGAGTAAAGTTTAGGCTTTTAATACTGCTTTTCATTTACTACAGGAATTACTTCCTAAAAATGTTAATCACAGCTGGATTGAAAGGGTATTTGGGAAATGTGGCAATGTTGTTTATATAAGTATACCACATTACAAGTCTACGGGAGATCCAAAGGGATTTGCCTTTGTGGAATTTGAAACAAAAGAACAAGCTGCAAAAGCTATTGAGGTAGGTCCTTGAACCTTAAAAAAAAAAAAAAAAGGCAGAAATTAGCAAGTGTACATGCAATTTCATATTATTTCAGTTTCTTAACAACCCACCAGAAGAAGCACCAAGAAAGCCTGGCATATTTCCCAAGACAGTGAAAAACAAGCCCATCCCTAGCTTAAGAGTAGTTGGTGAGTATTCCGTATTGGAATAGAAGTGCTTGCAGTTGAAGGTACAATAAAACTAGTTAACATTTTTGTTGCCGCAGAGGAAAAGAAAAAGAAAAAGAAGAAGAAAGGACGCGTGAAGAAAGAAGACAGTGTGCAGGAAAAGGAGGTGAGTATGGACACAAGCAGCGTGAGTGCCTGTAAAGTGAAAAGATCTAGGACCGCATCCGAGGGCTCTGAAACGGAAAGTGTAGAACCCCAAAAGCAGCCCACGAAGAAAAAGAAAAAGCGGGACAGAGCCGAGGTGTCTGGCTTACCTGAGGAGAGACCCGCGAAGAAGAAGAGAAGCAGCTCTGCAGATCTTGAAAGCCTGGCTCCTAAGTCAAAAGTCAAGAAAACAGCTCAGAAAGACATTAAAAAAGAGGCTTCTGAAGTTCCGAAAGAAAACAGAGGTATTAACAGTCCCCTCAAGGTCAGCGTTGGCTCACACTTGTTATTCCAACCGCTGCGCCATACGAAATGTAACTGGGTTTCTGACTTCTCTAGATTTGGAATTCTCCACAGAAGAGGAAAATATTGGAGACATGAAAGAAGGTTCTCTATTAAAAACCAAAAGGAAGCACAAGAAAAAACATAAAGAGAGACATAAAATGGGAGAAGAAGTCATACCGTTGCGGGTCCTATCCAAGTGAGTACTCGGTGTGGACTGGCTCCGAGGCAGCCGCCAGCAGTCAGTCACCATTGCTAAAGTGCAATTCCAGTTCGCACTCAACAGAGTTGCATATTAGCAACAGTGGCAGCCTGCAGGCCTGCGCTCAAGCTGGGCTGCTCCTGCGAAGACCACGCAGGGCCACCGCGCTCAAACATGGAAGCACTTATTTCCATCACGTTCCAGCAAGTGCCCCCATGTTAGAGGGCGGGGACCCCTTAGCAGATCTCGACACAGCAACTGAGATCACCTGAAGTGCTTGGAAAAGGAAGACTTACCATCACCAAAACATGGAAGCACTTACTTCCTTAGTTCCAAAGCAAGTACGTCCACGTTTAAGTGGTGGGAAGCCCGGTCTCAGGGAGAACTTGGAATAGGTAACTTGTAACAGGTTTACACAGCAGCCTCCAAAAAATACACAGAAATACAAGTTGTGCTGCTCGGGAGACACCTCCACTGAAACATGGAAGCACTTACTTACTTTCACACAGCAGGTACCCCCATGTTAAAGCAAAGGGGACCCCTCAGCCCTGAGCGAAAGAGTTTTAGTCCCGTCCCTCTCGTCCCGGGAAAGTTGAACTCACTTCTACTAAAACATGGAAGCACTTACTGTCATTGCAAGACACAGAAAGCGCCTCCATGTTAAAGTTGAAGGGAGCCCACCGAGCAGAGCAGCACGCCCAAGGAGCGGATGAGCTCCGTGGCCGAGAAGTGTCCCTTGAGCCCCTTTACCTTCCCGGACGAGTTTGCAGAGTCCTGCGTTTCCCCAGGGTCCAGGACAAGGACCTCAGGCACTTCTATTTATACTATTCTTAACTCCTGAATTCCTTTTGCCTTTTTATCTCCCAGAATCATTACAAGAGCCTTTTGTTATTTTAATGTATTAGCTCTCAGGGAAAGTATGATCCTGGGTGGGTCTGGATACTTTTTTTTTTTTTTTTTTTTGAAGCATACAGATGTCAATGTTAACAGCTAAAACCATTACCACGAGATATCCTCCTCTTTAAAAAAAAAAAAAAAAAAGTCCCCTCTCTGCTTGTTTGATGGCACAGATTAGGGTGACAATGAGAGCCCCCACCGGGCCAGAGAGGCATTGTGTTTATATCTGGAGAGGCGCTGGTTGTTTGAAGAAACAGCTCCATGCTAAATGCATGTAAATAAAGAAATTGCTTTCATGGGGTGTTTTTTTCCTCGTAGAAATTCCTTTCAAGTAAATACTAAGGAATGTTATCTCTCAAATTGGAAGCAGTTTAACAAATAATCTTTAAATGTTAATCTCTCATGAGCAATTTAGTAAATGTTGCTAGTTAACTAAGGAATTAAGTCTAGCATTTTACTTTTGTTAATTAAAATATTAAAAGTACACCCAGGAAATCACTGGGTAATGTGAAGCATTAATCTGAACCAGAAGCCAGAGGAACTTCCTTTGCGTGTCCCTAGATGGATGTAGGACTAGTAATTGGAATGTGTGTTAGTGAAAAAGAAGAGAGTTGGAAGAAGGGGTCCGGGAGTCATGGGAAATGTATGTATTTAATTTACCTATTTTATTTTACCATCTGTGTCAGTGTTTCAGTAGGTCATTTTTTGCCTTATAGGAACGAATGGATGGATTTGAAAAAAGAGTATTTGGCCCTGCAAAAAGCCAGCATGGCTTCATTAAAAAAGACAATATCCCAAATAAAATCAGAATCTGAAATGGAAACAGATAAGGTGCCTAGTAGGGCTGCAGCGAAGAGTGAAGAAGGTAAAGATGCCAGTGACAGCACCCCTTAACCCTGGGGTCGGGAGAGGGTGCTGCCGGGTGTGTGCTAAGCAGCTCCGCCAGAGAACGAGAACAATTATGTGAAGAGCTCACTTGGAACACTAGTTTTTTGAATAACGTGAGTCTTCCTCTGCTCTTCTCATTATTAGACTTAGTAAGGAGTTTAGGGTTTGTAGAAATAAAGCTTCATGTTGCTCACCTATAATTTCATTCCATAACATAAATCACAAGTAGGAAGAAATTAAAATAAGATTTTTATGAATTGTTTACAATTAGGATACATCTTAAGTTCTTACGAATTGTAAGAGTAAATCGTCACATTTGAACAACATTCAGAGTATTCCTTTTTTTTTTTGTCTTTTTGAGACAGGGTCTTGCTATGCAATTCAGCCTTAAGCTCACTTTGTAGCCCAGGCTAGCCTTGAACTCACGACAATCCTTCTGCCTCAGCCTCCAGAGTGCTGAGATTACAGGTGTGCACCACCATTCTTTTTTTTTTTTTTTTGGTACTGGGACTCGAACTCAGGACCTTGCACTTGCCAGGCAGGTGCTTGTGCTACTGAGCTATGTCTCCGGCCTAGAGTATCCTTAATACCTGTGTCTTTTTTTTTTTTCTTTTTTTGTGGTGCTGGGTATGGAGCCCAGGGCCTTGTGCATGCAAGGCAATAACTCTACCACTGAGCCATATCCCCACCCCCACCCCCTATTTTTTTAAGTAGAATTTTCTTTGGGAAGAAAAGGGAGCATGTTTAAACATTCAAAGTAATGAAAATTTCTGCATTTTATATCACCATTCTGTAAAATAAGCAGTGGGGCGTGACAGATAACCTCCTTAATTATTAGTTTTAGAATTAAGCTTTAAGTGAATGATTTACATCAGCTTGAGAGCTCCTTGGGGCTGCAGAGTACTCTCCTGAGGCAGGTCAGGTAGGTAGGTGAGTGAGGAGATTCACTTCCGCTCTTTCCTTTTCCATCCATAGCCAGGGGTCCAGAGTGTCACCCTCAGGAGAAAGTTAGCCCACCAGGGCCACAGTTCGTGAGTGGAGTCATCGTGAAGATCAGTAGTCCAGAGCCCCTGCCTGGCAGAAAGCAAGTCCGGGTAATACTTTTTGTCTTCAGCATTTCTTTTCCTGGCAGAACTGGGGGTTGAAATCAAGGCCTCTTAACAATCTAGGCAACCACTCAAGCACTGAGTGCTGAGCTCTTACCATATTAGTCTTTTTCTCCTTTTATTTCTTTGCCTTTGTGAAAATATTTTGAATGTGGAAAAGGAAACAGACAATATTAGAATGTGTGCTTTAACTTGAAGCAAAACCTGAAGGCTGGAATTCTCACAGAGCCTAACTACAGTGAGCGCAGTTTAAACACCTTTTACTGGAAATTTTTTCTTGCACTGAGATTCACCTGTCTCACTCGAGATTAACTGCTGGCAGTTGGAAGGGGAAACACACAGCAGTTCTTCTAATTACAAGTGCAGATAATATGAAAGTGTTTGGCCAACAGTTTTTCGAAGGCTTTAGCTTTCAAGGAAAATAGGGTTTAGAAAACTACGTGGCCCATTGATCAACATAAACAATTGTTCTGAAATTATTTTAAAATTATAGTCAGGGGCTGGGGACTTAGCTCAGCGGCACAGCGCCTGCCTGGCAAGCACGAGGTTGTGAGTTCGATTCCCGGTACCGGAAAAAAACTAAATAAATAAATAATTTAAAAATAAAAAACAAAATTATAATCATCTGATATTTTTGGATTGTAACAAACTAGATAATTTGTAGACTTGTATTAATACTTCTAGCTTTCAATAGATTTTTAAGTGATTTTTGCCTAAAATAAAACAGTCAAAACTGCTATTAAAACCGGGCATGGTGGTGCACTCCTGTAATCCCAGCACTCGGAAAACTGAGGCAAAAGGATTGCTGGAAGTTTGAGGCCAGCCTGGGCTACTAAGTTCAAGACCAGCCTGAATGGCATAGTGAAACCCTGTCTCAAAAAGACAAAAACAAAAAACAAAACAGCTGCAGAAAAGTATTAGGCTGCAGTTTTTAAAAAAAAACAGCAAAAATTTTATGTGCGTGTGTGTAAATAAATCAAAGTCCTTTTCTTTTTCTTTTGAGACAGAGTCTCGCTATGCAGCTCAGGCTGGCTTTTAGCTTACTTTGTAGCCCAGGCTGGTCTCAAACTCGAAGTGGTCCTCCTGCCTCAACCTCCAGAGTGCTAGGATTACAGACGTACACCACTACGCCCAGCTTCAGAGTTCTATAGAACACTAAATTGCTGTACATATTAATCTTCACTATCTTTTTTCACTATGAAGTTTATTTTTACACCCTTTATAGCAACATGAATAGTGATGCTTCTCTCTTACTGATGAAGTCATACTCTGTGTTGGGAATACTTTTACTTACTGTTTTACTCAGTTAGATGAGATTCTTTATTGTTAAACTATGCAAAATGTTCCATAACACCAAACATTTTTAAATTATGTTTATAGTGACATTTTAAAATTATGTTTATACTTACTTCAGTAAGTACCATGTAGTATGTCTTTTGGTTTTGCATGGATCCATAACTTACAAAAACATTCAGGTAGTTTTTCACAATATCAGCCTCTAAGCATTATCTGCAAACTTATCCTTAAAATCTTGTAGTTGCCAGTAAGACATCAGTTTTCTTTCTTTTTCTCCTTACATATTGGTAAGGAATTCAGTCAATCCCAAATTCTCTTACTAGCCTACATTTCAGAATTTGATTGCAGGGGGCTGGGGATTTAGCTCAGCGGCAAAAGCGCCTGCTTGGCAAGCACAACGTCGTGAGTTCGGTTCCTGGTACCGGAGAAAAACCAAAAAAAAAAAAAAAAAAACAAGAATTTGATTGCGATACAGAAATTAGGATAATAGGCTAAAAAACTTGAGCTATATAAGGGAGTGCTTAGCAAATGCAAAGCTATGAGTACAGTCCCCAACACCAAAAAATATCTTTTATTGTTTTCAGTGGTAATCATACCAATTGCAAGTTATTTATGATCATCCGAATCACAAAACAACTGCATCACATTAGTAGTTACTTACATTTTACTGGAACAAAAACTGACTTATGGTAGTAATGTCTGTGACATGCCCATGTGATTACCAGCCTAATTTGTCATTATAAGGATTTTAAATTCTAAGGGTTTTAAATCAGGAGATTAGCCTCACATTATAATGGATATTTAGTAAACATCTTTTTAATTGTAGTGATCTAATTAGTCTGAAAAATCAATTCTAAAACTTTCTGTTAGCAGTGAACATATTCAAATCTCATCAACAATACCAATTGTTTTTCTTTTTTCTGTCTAAACTTAGTACTATTAACAGATAAGGCAATAAGAAATAGATATATTGTCTCTCTTTTTAAATTGATTCACCAAACATTTATCAAGTGCCTTGTTTTCTGATAGACAGTGTGCTAAGTGCTGAGATAAGATAGATCAGCCTTGGCTTCTACAGACTCACAGATTTTTACCATCATCTTTTATTACTTAAGTGGTACTCATATCAGTTGCAAATTATTTATGATTATCATAATCACAAAACAGCTGCATTCATCAAGTTAGTAGTTACTTACATTTAGTTAGTAGTTCCTAGTAAATGTTTCTTACTCAAGGATTAGATATTTCCAGGTTACTGCTCAGTTCTTTGTATTACTCAATTATCTAGAAACCCAGTATTGTGAGAGTAACCTATATTAGTTGTGTTTTTAAAAAGTTGCATTTAAAAAAAAAAAGTTGTGTTAAAACTAAAGGGAAGGGAGATAAATCCCCTTTTTCCCAATTGGAAATCTCCACATACTGCATTCCTTCAGCAATCCAAATGCAAGTTAATGAACTAAGAGTTAGTGTAACATTCCTGCATAAATGCATTGTGTATCCTGCAGAACCTGCTGTGAAAAATGATTAAGAATGCAAGAATCTAGTTCATTTGCCCTCACAGCAGGCCTTCTAGGTAAGCTTTTCCCTTGCTGGGTGACCTCTGCCGGGTTAGAAGAGCTTACTCTGGTATTTTATCAAAAACTAAGAGCTCTTGAGCTGTGTCCCAGGGGGACCTACTCAAGAACCCTACAATCTTTGATTCAATGAAAGCTGTTTTTCGTGAGTTCATGTAAAAAGTTAAATGATTGTTACACCTACTTTAAATCATAAGTGATGTTTTATAGGTGAGGGAAAATAAACCTTCGCAAATCCTGTTTTTCTTTTAATCCTACTTCTGTGCTAACCACTCTCAGGTTGAAGAGGAGGGTGTGTGTGTCTCACCCACAGTCTGTATCCTCAATAGAATACTCTTGTCCTGGTTCATATTCTGAGGATATGGTTTAATAAATCAAGGAGGGGCTGGGGATTTAGCTCAGCGGCACAGCGCCTGCCTGGCAAGCGAAAGGTTGTGAGTTTGATTCCCGGTACCAGGAAAAAAAAAAAAAGAAATCAAGGAAAGGAAATTGTGGTACAGTTAATTTAAATTGGTTCTCTTTCCATCTGAATCTACTTTTTAAAACATTTCTGTGTGTTTTTAGAAGAGATATTTGTCTAAATAGTCTTACTTAGATATTAAATCTAAATAGTCTTACTTATATAACGTATTCTGATAGGACCATTGGAATAATTGTAGATTTTTGTGGAACACTTTACTGATTTTCAGTTTTAATACTTACTGTGAATGCAGGACACACTGGCAGCAATCTCAGAAGTTGTATATGTTGATCTGCTAGAAGGAGACACAGAATGTCACGCTAGATTTAAAACGCCAGAGGCGGCCCAGGCAGTAATGAATGGCCACACTGAAATTAAAAAGAAGTACAGCTGGAAACTCGAGGTCCTTTCTGGTAACACTTCACAGAAATTTCTTTTTCCTTTCTAAAAATGATTATTGTAGGTAATTGTTTGATACTTTCTGGCTGTGACTAATGGAACCTCATGGTTTTTTCCCTAACTACTCTAGCTACATTACTGAGATTTGAATCTTTTACGTGTGCACTCTTATATTCTAGTGATCAACGCTTTGTTTGCTTTGAAGGTGATCATGAACAGAGATACTGGCAGAAGATTCTGGTGGATAGACAGGCCAAGCTCAATCAGCCTCGGGAAAAGAAGAGAGGCACAGAGAAGGTAATCAATTTAGTTGTGGGTTTTATGCCCTAAATTTGTTAGAAGGTTAAATAAATATCTTCTGTAACCAATAATAGATGACCATAAAATAAAATTGGTTTTGCTATTACAGAGTGCTGTCCTTTAGGGAGCAGATACCCATTCCTCTTGGTTTAAAAATATATGAAGTTACAGTTTTTCACCACAAACATGCATAATTTTAATTTAAAATTTTCCTATTTCTCCTTCCTTTTTAACCAGTGATATACCTTAAAATTTCAGTCCTGATTTTGGGCTGCTGTTTTTGTAGTGTGGTGGTAAAAGATTGTAGAAAGATTTCTTTAATGATAAAAACCACAGGGCCGGGGATGTGGCTCCGCAGCATAAGCACTTGCCTGGCAAGCTTGAGGTCACGAGTTCGATTCCCAGTACCCCCCCCCCCGCCAAAAAAAAAGTTAAAAACCACAGTGTATGTATGTATTTATTTATTTATTTTGGTACCGGGAATCAAACTCAGGACCTTGCACTTGCCAGGCAGGCACTTGTGCCACTGAGCTATATCCCCAGCCCCACAGTGTATTTAGAGTGCACTTTTTAGACTTTTTTTTTTTCCTCTGGTACCAGGAACCGAACTCACGACCTTGCACTTGCCAGGCAGGCGCTTTTGCCGCTGAGCTAAATCCCCAGCCCCTAGAATGCACTTTTTAAAGATAGGAGTTTCCACAGACACTTCATGCATAAGGTTCCCTGTACCTGTGATAAACTTCGTTCCTTTTTCTCTAGGATAGTCAGCAAGTAATTTAAGCTATCTGCAGTAATTTAAAGCAAGCTTCTCTTTTGGTAATTTTAATGTTACAGCACTAAAATGTGTTGCTAGTTTATCTTTCTGAAATACATTATTACTCTTGTAAAGGTTAGTATAGTCTAATAAGGTGCTTACAACGAAATAGTAACCATAATTCCCATCCTCACAGCTTTCGAATTGAACTATAAAAGTCTGAGGAAAAGCAAAACCGATGCACATGGTTTCATGTTGGGAAGTCATGTATTACATGCTCTAGGCTCATTGATTTGGGGTATTTTTTCTGTTTAAAAAGTGGAGTGATTGTCCTGGGCCTCCCATCACCTGTGCTTTGCAGGAAGGAATGAAGATCTAGGGGAAGTCTCCTACTGGTCTTTGTTAACTTTGCCCACTTGCATAGTGACTGAGATTGCAGAGATTGGGAGCCCTCCTTCCTGCTCAAAAGCTCTGTCAGGTCTGGGAAGTGTTAATTTCAAACCCTGCTTGAGATTATTGAAATGTTAAAATCATTAATCCACAGTGATAGTTGAAAGCTGTTTATGAAAACAAAAATCTTACCCTTTGGTGTGGAACTTCATTAAAATTGTGTTTTTTTAAAAACTGGGAATTAATAATCATTCATCTCAACTTTAGAAATTTAGAAAGACATGTTCTTTGAAAATGCAGTTTGAGCTAAAGAAATAAACATTACCTGGGAACTTTACAGAGACTGAGTAGCTCTGATACGCTGGGCAAGGTATCCCACTGACTTCCTTTCCCTGTGTGATATCAAGGTTGCATCACCCCAACTTCTTAAGACTTCTTAAGCACAAAGAGCTCCAGCTAAGGGAGAAACTAGCTGGCTCCTATCATGAGTTGAAAAGAATATGTCACCCAGAGGAAGTACAGCATAGAACTCTTCAGAAGAGTAGGCTGTAATTAACCTCTTCACTTACAAAAGTTTTTGGAAAATTCTTTATTCTTCCCTCTACCACCACTGCTGTGTGAGAATTCAACCTAGAGCCTCAGATGCTAGGCAAGCACTCCATTGCTGAGCTACTTCCCTGGCCTGATAGTTTTTGTTTGCTTTGTTTTGTTTTTTGGGCTCTGGGGATTGAACCCAAGGGGTCTCACTACATTTCCCACATGGGTTTCTAAATTGTGATCCTCTTGCCTCAGCCTTTGGAGAGCTTGAAGTATATTGTGAGCTACCTTGCCTGACCACTAATAGTTTTTACGGAGCCTTTGTGTCAGCCCCTGAGCTTGGAATGGGAGGTGCCCAAGGCAGCTCCATTGCTTAATGAAGCCTACAGATAAGAAAACTGAACCATGTAGGTTTCAGAATACAGGCTGCCTGGGGCATTTCCTGTGGACGTGGTCTCACAGGCAGAAGGAGCAGCCCAGCCAGGGCCTTCCAGTGCAGGTTTTCTTAGTTTCAAGAATTAAGGGCTCAGAAAAAACAAGCTGGATTTCAGGGTTTGGGGGAAGTATGACACAAATACCACCCTGACATGGTTGCCCCAGGTACAGCACAGCAGGATCAGGCCCACCCTTGTTGTTGTCACTGTTGTTTTTAGTGTTTAGTTTCCTTAGTACATGTGTGCAGTAAGTAATGATGGCATTCCTCGTGGTCCGTCCTTGAGTGAAAGAACAGCACTAGCAGAAAACTCCTGGTTCCTGATTTTCACACTGTGGATTATGACCAAGTGCACTGCCAACAATTTCCTAACCCTTGTGCACGCTATACTACATTAAAAAGAGAAAGAGCAGTGTTAGATAGAGAACACTTGATTTTCCATAGATACATCAGGCACAAGTAAATTAAATGAATGGCCTATCACAGAAGCTCAGGAGGAGGAAGAAAAGATCTGTCTGGGGAGCCCCTTGATTTTCCTGGCCAGAACCCCCCTATGGGATGGGCCCCTGCTTTCCCCCGGTGCTGGTGCTGTGTGAGGAGAGGACCCTGGCCACGGAGCAGAACACGTCTTCTCTGCACCCCACAGAGCCCTGCTGAGCACCGCACCCCAGTGCCTTGCCCAGTAAGGAGCAGCTGCTGGACTTGTAGAGAGGCTTTTCTTAGTTCTCAAGAAATTTGAATTTTTTTGGTTTTTATCAAAACTGTTTAAATGACTACCCATTAGAATATTTATACAGGAAAAAGATTTGCATTTATTCTAAATAATATTTTAAATTTTTCTCTTGAGGCTTTTGGATTATTTCAGACATTTTCATTGGTTTTCTTCCCTTCATGTCAGTCTTTAAAAATAAACAGGAAGCCGGGTGTGGTGGCACATGCCTGTAATCCCAGCACTTGGGAGGCTGATGCAGGAGGATCATTGCGAGTTCAAGACCAGCCTGGGCTGCAGAGTGAGCTCAAGGCCAGTCTGAACTGCCTTGCGAGACCCTATCTCAAAAAGACAAAAAACAAAACAAAACAAAATAAAAATAAACAAGAAGCCAGGCATGGTGGTGTACACTTGTAATCCCAGCACTTGGGAGGCTGAGGCAGGATGATCGTTGCAAGTTCGAGACCAGCCTGGGCTACAAAATGAGTGCAAGGCCAGCCTGAACTGTATAGTGAGACCCTGTCTCAAAAAGACAAAAAAAAATTTAAAAAAATAATAAAAATAAAAACAGTTTACATGAAGGGGTGATAAATAGAGCTGGCCTGAACAGTAGGTACTTACGTTCAAACGAGGACACAGTCTTTAGTTTTTCTGAAATTGAAATTGATGTGTGGCACTGGCCATATCGATGGGACCGTGAGACTGGTCATTCCCTGGGTCAGGGCCTTGGGCTTCTCTCAGCTTTGTTTGGACGTGCTTTGCCTTCTGCCGTGTGGAGGCAGGGCTTCTGGGAGCTGGGCCTGCAGGGCGATCGCTCAGCAGCGTGAGACAGCACTGCGCGCTGTTGCCCCTGCTGTGCAGCCTAGGCCTTCTCCATCCTGTTCCCTCACCCTGCCGGGACAGCTCCAGAAGACCGTGGGTTTCATCCTTGCAGGGGCAGTAGGTACAGGTCCTCTATCTCTGTAGATTGACTGTTTTTTATTTACTTACTTATTTATTTTTGTCTTTTTGAGACAGGGTCTCGCTATGCAGTTCAGGCTGGCCTTGAGCTCACTTTGTAGCCCAGGCTGGCCTCGAACTCTAAACAGTCCTCCTGCCTCAGCCTCCCGAGTGCTGGGATTACAGGTGTGTGTCACCACGTCTGGCAGATTGACTGTTTTTAATTGCAAGGTGATAAGCAGTATTTGATTGAGGGAAGTAGCTAGTGCAGATTCTCAGTTTGCACAGCCATGAGCTCAGCAGGTCTTTCTCAAATTAATTTGACATAAGCATAGTATCGCATTTGTCTTTGTCCCTTTTTTAAAGCATTTCTTTCTGACAGTTGTGAAGTTTTGGGGGGTATCCAATATGTTCTGATTTATTTTTCTCTAGTTAATCACCAAAGCTGAAAAGATTAGGCTGGAAAAGACTCAACAAGCAAGTAAACACATTCGATTTTCCGAGTATGACTGAAGAGTGGGGCTCACCTGTTCCACTGCATCCTGGACATCGTTTGACGACGATAGCACCATTTAATGAAAGGAAATACCTTAGCTCCTCAGCTTGTAAATAAGACTTTTTTTTAGAGATAAATGCATAAACACTTTTATTTGTTGAAATTATATGTCAACCTCAAGTGATTTTTTTTTTTTTTTCCTCAAGTGATTTTGTATATGCATTTTGAACATGATCACTAATTTTGGAGTACATTGTTGTAGAAATTAAATACTTGATGTAACATCTAAAGCCTGGCTGTCGTCCTGGTTTGTCACCCACTGTCACTGCCCAAGGCTTCTTTCTGCCACTGCCCAGCTGCCCAGCACACTGCTTCTCATTAAGGTGCTCAGTTTTAAAGGTAGTGTTTGTCCTTCGTACATGAACTGTTGATGTTTTGCTAAAGGAGATAAAATACACATGGGGACAGGGTGGCAGAGGCCCAGGCTACTGACACTGCAGAGCTGAGGCAGCTCCGGAACTAAGGAGGCCAGAACCAACAGGCCAGGCCTCTGTCCCCACCGCTGACGTGCCATGTGGTTCCATTCCTGCTGCCACCACCTCTGCCTGGAAATGCGTCCAGGGCCCTGGGGCGCGGTGCGGATCCCTGGACATGGAGGCCTGCATCGGGACTGGGGACACACCACTCATCACCACACTCACAGCCCTGTGAGTGGCCCTCCACTGCCCTGGGAGGGAGCCTTGTCTGCCTGCTCTGGAGAAAGGAGGCCCGCCATGCTGGCCTTGTGTGCTTGCCCAAGTAGATCTAGAAGGGTCAGAGGTTAATGCAGTTCAGGAATCCCATCGTTCTGGCAGAAAGTCTCCCCTTAGCGCCTGCCTGCCGCTTGTCTCGCTCTCTCATCACTGGGCATTACACTCAGGGCTTTGCAATGAACTGCATCCCCAGCCTTTTTTCTGTTTTATTTTGTTTTGGGTTTCAGAGATTTTTGAGACAGGGCCTTGCTATGTCATTCAGGGTGGCCTAGAACTCACAGCAATCCTGCTGCGTCACCCTCCTGAGTGCTAGAATTACAGGTGTGCGTCTCCACACCCAGTTTATTTGGAGACAAGGTCTCTTAAGTTTCTAGGTCTGGACCCCAATTTGTGCCTCAGCCTCTAGGATGCTGGAGTTACAGGTGTGTGCCACCCTGCCCAGCTATAGCTAGCTACACTTGGGGAATGGTTTCTGGCTAAGAGTGTGTTAGGGCTTGTGTTACGACTTCGTGTGGTCATAGGGTTTTTTTTGTTTTTTTTGTTTTTTGTTTTTTGTTTTGGCAGTACCGAGGATTGAACTCACATTGCCAGGCAGGCACTTATGCCGCTGAGCTATATCCCCAGCCACTATAGGGGGTTTTAGAGGTAGCTGGGTCTAGAGTGTGTGATGCTGGGATTAAGGGTACCTGATTACTGAACCCACCCACTGATTGGTTTGTCATCACCCTAAGCCCAGTAGGCTAGATAGAATACAAAAGGGACAGGAAGAAGCTGCTGCATTTGCTTTGGTTTGTTTCTTCATTGCTTTGTTGCTTTGCTACCTTCTCCCCACCATGAACTGTTTCTCCTCTGTGATGGCCCTCTGCCATGCCACCCTGCCCTGGAGCAGTTGATAACTAAGAGCATAGAGATTGTATGTGCTAGTTGTGTCTGTCTGTGATTGAATACATGTCATTTAAATATGTAAAAGCATGGCACTGAGACTCAGTGAAAGTACTTAACCCTTATAGATCATGTAGTGTTTAAGGACAGGGAAGGAGGAGGGAGAAAGAATTTAGATTCGTTATGTGCGTGTACCAACTCCCCATGATGTGTATAATTATACACTGCAAACATAGTAATAAAAATTTTTTAAAAGTTGAAGAAGTACAGAAAATTATACTGGCCAGGCATGGTAGCACACACCTATAATTCCAGCACTCCGGAGGCTGAGACAGGAGGATTGCTGCAAGTTTGAGGCCAGCCTAGTGAAACCCTGTCTCAAAAAGACCCAAAAAATACTGCACTAACAGTATATTTTTAATTTCATACTGAAACAGAAGATACATACTGAAAACCGTACACAGAAATTCCATAGAGAGTGGTGAACTTTATATATATATATATTTGGGTTTTTTTTTCTGGTATCAGGAATTGAACTCACGACCTTATGCTTGCCAGGCAAGTGCTGTGCCGCTGAGCTAAATCCCCAGCCCTTAATGTGGTTTTTTTGGTGGTTGTTTTTTGAGACTGGTGAACTTTAAACCCCACAGAGGCAGCTTGTGAGTAGTAACCCTGCATGGACCCTCCTGCAGTCCCTCCTGCTCCTCCCTCCGGGAGACCCCAGAACAAACTGGGCATACCTCCTTTGTGACCTAAATAGGTCATACGCTTAGATGTTCTTTTGGGTCACTGTTTCTTAAAAAACCCTAAACCAGGCTTGGCAGGACTGTAATCCCAGCACTCTGGAATGAGCATAGCCTGGGCAACTTAGACCCTGTCTCCAAAAGGAAAACAGGAGGGGAATGAGCATGTAGCTTGGTGTGAAGGGCCTAGGTTTCATTTCCAGTTCCAGAAAAACTAGTTCTGGAAGAGTCTCAGCAGGTGAGCCCCGCTCAGGGCCCGGATGTTACAGCCCTGTGGGAAGCAGTGAAGGGGATGTATTGCCCTGGTGGCTGTGGGGGCTGTGCTTAGCTGGCACCAGGCCCTCGTGCAATCCCAGCATCCAAAACATAAAGAAAAGGAAATAGAGCTCCCTTGACCTGAGCATCGTGGTCAAGGTGACACCTGTCACCCCAGCTCTCTGGGAGGCTGAGGCAGGAGCACTGCCATGAGTTTGATGCCAGCCTGGGCTATGCATAGCAAAACCCTGTTCCCAAAAAACAAAACAATATCTCTCCCTTAATAAAGTATGCACATACACATGCTGTTACAAGCATTTCAACGCAGTATAATGCACAGGAAGTTGTTCTTTCCCACTGGGGAAAAAGCTAAAGATCGGGACTTTGTGTTTAGTCACTCTGTCCTGTTTGTGTGCTTTTGTAAACATGCATTATTTTTATCCAGTGAATTTTTTAAAGATGAATAGCAAAAAAAAGATGAATAGAAGGATGAGAAATGCTTCCAACACAGTCATCATATTTAATAAGCACGCTCTTGATGCTGCGTCGCGAAGCCTTGGTCTTGAACACGCAGTGTTAGAAATTGCTTGACAACTGTGGGAGGAAGCTGTGTCCCGTGAGGACTGGTTTCCGCTGGGATCAGGACATTCTGACAGTCACCAATGGGCCTGATAATTAGCATGCATATCTATTACTCAGGAAATCCAAACAGTTTTTTAAAAAGAATGGAAAAAACAAACAAAAAAGAATGTTTGAGAGCTTTTGCTGCAATTACTAGGGAAACCGTCTGTTTGCCCTGTCTCTAAAAAGCCAAAAAGTTTGAAAAATAATACAAAAGGCTAAAGAAATGAGAACAAAATTATCTCCAGTACTGATGAAAGTATAAAAATAAAGTCATCTTACATTTTTAGGAAGAAATTACCTCCTTTATTCTATTTCAGTTACATAAAGAACACAATTTCATTGTGGAACAGAAAACTGGAAAGGAAGTCACCAAAACTTTATACATGTTTTATGCCAGTTTCATAACTTCTTCTGTTTACTGAACAGTAACTGTACTGGAAAGATTTTTCTCCCAAAAAATACTATCTTCTACTGGGTTTCCTCAGTATCCCCCCAAAAGACACAAAATACAAAAACAAAACCAACCAAAGAAGAAATATTTCCTCCCCCAAGTCCGGGCTCTGCTTTTTTTTTGTTTTTTTTTTTTTGTTTGTTTGTTTGTTTTTCTCTGGTACCAGGAACCGAACTCATGACCTTGCGCTTGCCAGGCAGGCGCTTTTGCCACTGAGCTAAATCCCCAGCCCCTCTGTTTTGTTTTGTGTGAGTGTTTCAGGGATTGGAAACCGAGGGGTGCCCTACTGCTGAGCTACATCCCCAGCCCTTTTTCATTTTTTATTTTGAGACGGTCTCACAGGTTGGCTTCACATGGGTTATCCGAGTGCTGGGATGACAGGTGTGTGCTGCCACGCCAGCTCTTAGTACACGGCTCGTTTCCAAGCCACAGTACGCTGGCCTAGCTTGAAGGTGCCCGCAGGACTCTGAACACCAGCAGGACCTGTTGCTCTCTGTGGCTTGTACTTGCAGCGGCCTGAATTTCTTACGTGTGCACTTTGACCCATTATGGATCCAATTTTCAGGTGCAGCAGCCTTTCTGGGAAAGAAACATCTCCAAGTGAGCTCCGCCGGGAGCTCACAGCCCCAGGCCAAAGGAAGTCCCGCAGGGCCAGGGGACCTCATCTGATGCTCTGACAGAGGGCCTCCATCTCTCCGTGCGTGTGAGTGTGTGTGTGTAACTTCCCTCAAGAGGTCACTGACCCTGGAGAGTGAGGCGAGACCGAGCTCACCCACAACCTTTCCCAAAACAGCGCTCCCCAGGCTGGCAGGGGAGCCCTTGCTCTGTGTGCTCCAGGCCCTGGGTTTCATTGCCAGGACCAAAAAAAAAAAGAGTATTAAAAAAAATTTTTTTATCTAGGCTTGCTCGTGTACATCTGTTGTCCAAGTTACTATAGAGTCTGAGGCAGGAAGACTGTACATTCAGGGCCACCTTAGGAAACCGAACAGGAACCCGTCTCAATAACAGCATTGTATAGCCTGCACAAGGCCCTGGGTTCATCCCCCAGCACCACCAATAAAATGAAATTTGAAAAGTGAAATGAGCCGGGCAGGATGGCAAACACCTGTAATCCCAGCACTCAGGAGGCTGATGGAGGAGGATTGCCTCAAGTTCCAGGCCAGTCTAGGCTACATAGTCAGTCCAAGGCCAACCTGAACTACATAGGGAGACACCCTGTCTCAAAAAAAAAAAAGTGAAATGAAAAAACAAGCTGGGTGTGGTGGTGCATCTCTGTAGTCCAAGCACTTGAAGAGGCTGAGGCAGGAATATCACAGGGAGTTCAAGGTCAGCCTGGGCTACATACTGAGACCCTGTCTCAAAAAAGAAAAGAACAAATAGAACTCAGGTTTCGTGGCGCACACCTGTAATCCCAGCACTTGGAAGGCTGAAGCAGAAGGATTTTTGTGAGTTTGAGACCAGCCTGGGCTCCAAAGTGAGCCCAAGGCCAGCCTGAACTGCATAGCAAGACCCTGTCTCTAAAAGACAAAAACAGTAAATAAAATAAAATATCAGAGGCCAGGGAGATAGCTCAGAGGCACAGC